GAAACAGAACGCAAATGAATTCAAAATGAAAAGAATAGACGAACAATCGGACGAGAGAGTGATAGACGAATAACCTTCTTTTTCCTTTCTGCATGGAATGGAACGACGGAAAGAAAAGAGAGAATGAGAAAATTTCCTTTAAATGTGGACGGATGATGAACTCTGTTTATGTGTAGCAATAAAAAGTAGATAAAATATTAAATAGTCAATTTTTGGGTACAAGTGCAGTTTACGCACACCCCTATTGTGTTATATATATAAAGACAGAACAGAAAAAAAAAATTATTGGATAAATTGTACACCACTATTGAACGATATATCGTTCAATAGTGGTGTACAATTTATCCAATAAATTCTTTTTTCTGTTCTGTCTTTATATAAATAACACAATAGGGGTGTGCGTAAACTGCACTTGTACCGCACGACATTTTGTCGCGTTCTGTTCGTCGCAGAATTTTTTTTTCGTTCTGTTCGTCGCAGAAATTTTTTTTTCGTTCTGTTCATTTCTGTCTACTTGCTGCATCGCTCTTAATCAATTCTTTTTTTTTTTTTATAACCAATGGAAATAACATAAAATAAATGAAAAATTACAAGAGATACGTACAATAGCGCGAGATGATTAATTGGAAAAACGGATCAACAAAAAAAAAAAATACTATTCCAATACAATCGTGATAGAGCTAAAGCGAGCGATGAATAATTCAATTTGTTACTCGACTAATGAATTTCAGCATAATCTAAACTAAAGATAGCACTGATCCAATATCCTTAATTATGGGACCAAGTCAGATAAAAAAAAGAAACATTTCACTTCTCAATTTCAACTTTCACAGCACACTATTTTTCAAACAAAATGTCTCAAATCGGGAAACTCCTTTCTGTAAAAGGAAAACCAATGATGCTTCATGATGGTTATATCTATACTGTAGAACGTACAACAACGACGAAATTAATTCTTCGATGCCAGAATCGAGATTGTAAAGGTAAGTTCGCTTTGAACATCAATTAATTAATTCAAATAAAAATCATTTATCAATTAAGCTCGTTGTCATACTAATTTATCAATGGATGCAATTCTCTCCCAACCAACAACCCATTCCCATGCTCCACAACCTGATCGTGTTCCAGCTATTCAATTAAAAAATGATATTAAAGCTCGTGCTGTGATAACAGATGAACCAACCAGTTCAATTATTCA